GGGGCGGGAGCGGCGGCGGCGGCCCCGCCATGACGGAGAGGCGGCAGCGAGCCCGTGTGCAGGGCGGCTGGGCCGGCGCCCCGGCGGGACGGCTCTCAGGTGAGGACCGGGGGGGAGGCGACGACCCCCGGGCTGATGTCGTGCAGGTAGGCGGGCAGGACCGCGGGGTGGGTGTCCCGGGGCTTGTCGGGGCCCTCCCGTCCGGGCCGCGGCCTTGCGGAGAGGCCGGGGGTGGTGGCGGGTCCCCGGCTGCCCCCCGCCGCGGGAACAGGCGCGTTCGGAAAACTTCACTGCGAAAAAGCTGAAGGAAAACTCGCTAGTTTCAAAATCTTGTTTTAATAAAAGTATTTTTCTCAGAGAAATGTCTTCTTGTTTCCTGAAAAAAAATTGTAGAGGGGGGCAGTTCAGCTGCTTGCGACAATTTATGCTGGCATGCAGTAGGTGTTTGAGGTAGAACTGAAAGGTTCTAGCTATCGTTCCTCCTGAAAAAAGGATGTTTTCATTTATGTTTCTCTCTGAAGAACATATATAAAAAAATTCCAGTTTCTGTGCAGCATAACATAGGTTTGGCTGTTCCCTGAAGTCTCTGCCAAGCAGAGGAGAATACTTCAAAGAATGATTCCATAAGTTCTTCCAAAACGTATTTTTTTGTATGGTGAAATTCTATTTCGTGTGATCCTTTGTTTTTTTTTTCTCTCTGCTTTAGCACCTAAGGCGGCTGTGGCCAGCAGCCTTGCCCCCGCAGCTGCCAGACCGGCATGGATGAGGAAAGATCAGCCTCACGCTCAAAAGCAGTTTGTCTTTGAAAAGCCATCAGAGGTAAAAATTAGATGGTAACTAGAAGAATCTATTTTTTTTTTATTAAACCTCAAATGAGAAAAATTATCAGACTTTGAGATTATAGTCTCATGTTCAAAAACAAATTAAAAACTCGGCTGAGCTGAACTTTGGGCTTTTAGCAAGCAGAGTTTGCAACTGTCTTGCATATATGGCAAACAGAAAGTTACGGTCCCTCTGTTTAGCCTCAGACTTTGAGTATTCATTATGTACCTGTTCATAACTACTTTTTTTTCGGAGATCCAGAAGCATACATTCTCCTAAATATTCAGAATGATGCAGTATCCTAAGTGTGGTTTGAGCTCTGTTTTTCCTTCAGTTGGGATATCTGTCTTATTTGTTACAGGGGAAGAGGGTGATTTGTTTTATAGACTTTGCTGTATGTCCCATCAGCAGATGAAGGATATTGTGCTCTGTGCAGTGGGAGGGCAGTTTCTTGCTTGGGAAAAAAAATGTTGAACACTTCTTTCTAAGCCAGAAGTGTCTGAAAGGCTGTCTTCTTGGCTCAGAAGGATTGGAGATGGTCTGGGAAGATTCTCTTTTCTCTGTGGCAGAGCCCTGGTATCTATAGAGTACTATATTTTGACCCTCTTGCTTGCTCAACTCAGTACCACCTTGCACCTCGGCACTCCACTGAGCTCAGAGAAGAGAAGCATAAATCCCTGAGACAAACAGGATGATAATCCAGGCTGGATTAAACTACTGTGTTTGGGGTTTTTTTGTTTTTTTTTGTTTTAACAAAAAACAGCTATCTCGAGCTGTGCAGACAATTTTAGTGTCAGCTCCTGGTATGTCTGGTCTGCCTTGTGTTTTGCTCATTGTCTGGGTCCTGGGATTTGTTCGTCCCTCCTATAGTTGCTCTAGATTTTTACTTCCAAACGTAAGCATAAGAATCTTTTTGGTTGCAGTTGATAAATAGCAAGTGTTGTAACGATCCAAATAATTTAGGAATGAATGTCCTTTAGGGGGCAGTTGATTGTTAAAAACCGCCTGCAGTGGTAGCTGCCTTTGAGAGTTTCTGGGGCGTGGAGAGAGTGGGTGGGTTGTTACTGCTTACCGATTGTCCAGAGTTATGTTTTTCTCACTGACATACCAGTGTGTGGCTATATAGAGTCACAGGCAATTAGTTCTGTTCAACTAGAGCATGCCAGGTACTTAAATGTTTAATACTCACCGTGTATTGTCTTGTTACTTTTCAGGTGGAGCGCAAAGTTCCTGAGACAGGTGTGATAGAGTGAGTATACTGCCGACTTAACTGTCCTTTGTGCAGTTTTTCTGTCTGGTTGGTCAGTGGGAATCTGCTGAAAAAGAGTTCCTTCTCCACTTACAATTGACATGCCTTTGGAAGAAATTTCAGTAGAAAATGTGGACTCTCAGCCTTTAAAAGGCTGAATTTATAATCGGGAGAGTCCAAGTCTGTGTTAAGCAGTTTTTATAACTTTGGTGTGGCTGTATAAGCCAGGAAGAACAAACAATTGGACATTCTGGATTGACAGAACTGCAAATATATCTCTTTTGGTTAGCAATGTACATTTTCCTAGAACAGTCTCTCTAAATGACTCGAAATTACTTACTGTTACCCAGGAGTATAGCTGGTATGGTAACTCAAGCAGCACTTCCTTTGAAGGTTCAGGAAAGTACCTGCTAGTAACCGTTATAGTGAAGCTAGGTATTTGTAGATCACTTACCCTTTGTGTTAAAATAGGGTTCTTCTCAGAATAACTTTGACATGAAATGTGACAGGGTGTGGTGGTGTATGGTGAAGTTACAGATTTTGAAAATTAAATTTGCTTCAGTTTGGTTATCTTGGTAGGATTTTCTTACTCAGCGTGCCTATAAATGCAAACATAGTGGTCAGGGTGCAGCCTTGTATGGTTGTCTTCTTTAGATTCCCCGTGATGTCCCTCGTTTATTTATCTATAGAGCCCTAAAACTGTGTATTGAGCCTTTGGTGAAATGAGAGCGAGAGGCAGGAAGTACACACAAACTTATTTGCTTCTGCAATACCACTTGCTGCCTTACTCTGACCTCTGACTGTCTCCAGAACATTATTGCTTCCCTTTTTTTCTTTTTTAAAGAAAACTTTCCCTAGTCCAGGCTTACAGCAGTTCTAGTCCTTGCTGCTCACTGTAAGATAATTTCTTGTTGTTTGTCCATCTGATGGCTCTTTCCTTTCTACATCCTCAGCAAGCCTGGTGTGTATGAGCTCAGCAAAGTACCAGGTGGCATTGCTAGGTAAGTGGATGAAACTTCTTATTTGCTATTGCAGAATGGTGCGGTGATACTCAGCTTTCTGCAGTCTAGTCTCTGTAGAGTGTTTTGACTACAGCAGGTGCACATTGCCCTTCCTGTGTATCTTCTGCTTAGAGTACTTCTGGAATTACTTTGAGTATCAGGTAGCAGAGGGTTATGCAGTTCTGAGCAGCACTGAAGAGAAGAAAAATTAATCTCTTAACATCTAGTGCATATTGCATCTCGTGTTCTTGTCCGGAATAAGGAGAAGGGACTATGTCCATTTGTTCCACGATCCAGAGTAAGTTGCTGCTTGAAATTTGGGTCGGTATTCCTGTGTTAGTGAGTGTGTGATGTCTGTGTTGTATAGTTAAGAGCTACCAAAAACTTTTAGCTGTAAATTGGACTTGTTTTAAATTAATCTAATAAAAGCATTTAACTTTAGGCAGGTTTGGTAACTTTTGCTTACATGCTATGCCTTAATTATTTCAGCTTCAGGACACTTCAAAACAAAACCTACTTGTTCTGTGATTCCTACTAACTGAAATGCATTTTATTTTACCTTGCTGGCTTAGGTGTAATATCGATATTAATCCTTTTCTTCTGAATTCGATAGATTTTATTAGTAGTGGAAAAAATGCCAAGGACGTAGTAACTTTTTGTGCATTTATTTCAAAGCTTTCACCTTGGTTTCTTCTAAAGCTACAAATAAATTTTTATACCAGTTTGAAAAATAAAAACTTTGACCAGCTGTAAGTAGGAAAGATACACAGCCAGCTGGGTTATTCTGTCATTTTCTGGAGTTTGTTTTCATAATATGTTGCTGGAATATTTACATTTCTGGAAAGTGAATAATGAGATTTTGCATCTCTGTTGGCACCTTTACTATATATTCTTGTTGTGATGTTTTTGGAGCATTGAATACTTGTGAGAGTAAACTCTTGTGAACAGCATTCCTACTCTGCAACCCATCACAGTTTTGTGATAGAATTGAAGGAATCCAGTCCTGGCTGGTCACTGAAAATTGCTTTCAGTAATTCTTGTTGGACTTCCATCACAGTGGCTGGAATTTTTGAATGTTGCTGTTAATACAGTCAAAATATAAAATGTACATAAGAAAATGTAAAAATAGAAGAGGTTACATACTCTAGGGTTCTTCTGCTTGGAAAAGAGAGGATAGGATGGCAGTAGTGATAAAGGGCTATGAAATTCTGAGTGGTGTGGAGATGGTGAATAAAGGGCAATTATTTCCTTATGTTGATTGTAGACCTGTAATCAGGGCTATCTAATTTATCAGATGTGAAGTTAATAACAAGCAGAAGGATGCCATTTTTCACACAGTATATGGCTGATTGCAGGACTCGTAGGATATTGTTGGTGTCATATTTTTTATAGGTTTTAAAAAGCAATTAGACGTGTTTGGTGAGGGGAAGACTCATCAGGAGCTCCTGCTGCCTTCTGTTCTTCCCTTCACACCTGCTTTTGGCTGTGGTCAGAAATAGGATACTGGGCTTTGCCTTTTGGTCTGATGCATTATAGCCATTCCTAGCTCCTTTGGGAATCCTGGAAATTAGAATATTTTATCAAAGCATATACAGAATTGTATACTCCTTCCATCTTTTCTTTCTCTTTTTCTTCCTTAGGATTCATTTGATTCCTGGCTTTATTGACTCGGAACAAGCAGACTGGATGTTTGAACAACTCCTGCAAGACATACCTTGGGGTCAGCGAACTCACGTCAGACATGGTAAGGAGTGTGTAGACCAGCTTTTCAGGTCATTCCGAGGTCATTTCCATACCAAAATCCGTGCATTGTTTATCATTGTTTTTCATTTTACATATTACCACTCCTTCATATTTCCTTCCAGGTTTTCCATGCATAGCTGAAGAGTACTGCTGCTTATTTTTCAATCTTTATCACCATGTTCCTATTGCCAATTAAATGAGATCTTTACAAATTAAAATTGCCTGTGTTAAAAATCTTTGAATTTTACTGCCTCCTCTGTCATCTCCAGTTCTTTTTCCCACTCTTTTTTTAGATTAAGTCTGTGCTCCATCCCTTCATACTGTCTCCCAGTGATGCTGCAAAAACTGTGTTCTTTGAGGTTTCTGTCACCAGGATTATTTTTTGCCTCTCTCACTTAAAATCCCAGCAAAGCCTGTTTCTTTTCCCTTGCGTTTGCTTATTTGTTCTAGGATGCAGTAAATGAAGAGACTGCTATTCTGAATTTGTTCACTAAGGGGCACCTGTTCTAGCTAAATTTCTCTTTCAGTCAGCAACGGATGTAAGATAATACATCACAGTAGTTACTGGACAGGGCTGGAAAATATCTTCAACATCTGTGCTTACTGGCTTGCAATAAAGGTACCGTATAATGGAGAGTGTTACCTGTCAAGCATGAGAAGCAGCTACCAGGATAGTCTTTCCAGAAGTTGAAAGTACTTTTAACTTGATGTTTGTATTACACCACAGGGTGTACACATATTTGACAAAATATTACTTGTCCAGCCTTGCTACATCTGATTCTGTAATGTCCCATTGATGCTGCAGTCCTTTCCACTTCATCCTTTCCAATGGATACATCTTGCAACTTATGCCAGCGTATTGGGCAGTGGAACCAGGAGAATATAAAACAATCGAGAATTATAAATAAAATTTCAGTTTCATTTTGTTATCTTTATCTTGTCCAGTCCCTGCCCTGTCTGGCATAGGGATGAGAAAATTGATGTGGTTCCAAGATTTTGGCAAGGTAATTCTTGCAGAGACAGGCCTGCTTTTGAATAATCTCGTTCCTCCACTTGACTTCATTATGTAAGGCTGAGGATTTTAAGGGGCTGCTTTTTAACTTTAGGTGAGTGGACAGTCCCTTTTTGATCAAATTTCTTGGCAGAATTGCATCATCTTTCCATTTTCAAGCCCTTTGATAAGGCAACTGAGAAAGTCTTCCTGTTCTTTTTTTTTAGAAGTATCTTTTGAGGAACCAAGGCTTACCTCCTGGTATGGGGAACTTCCTTACACGTACTCCAGGATAACAATGCAGCCAAACCCAAATGTATGTATATATTTGCAGTTTTCTTTTATTGTTGTCTACAGAGAAATCCTTTGCAGAGATTGAGAGACAAAAATTCCCTCTATCCTCTATGTAGAGTATCTATCAGCATTTCATTTGCGATCAGCAACAGATTCTAGTGGAACGTGGATAACTTCATAAAACAAGCATTATGAGTGGATTGACTGAGAGGAGCATGATTTAGTTGCTAAATGTTGGCAAAAGGAAATTATCACTCCATAGTTTAAAGTTCTGCTTTTGGGTCACTGTAGCTTTGGACAAAACTCTGAATTGTTCTGTGTGACTTACTCTATGCATCTTTGTACGGGAGATTGTAGTGTACAGAGTCATACTGAGTTTTTTGTTGTAAAGATACAGTAATATCAGTTACTGAAATAGTTACTTTCAGAAACACTTAGATTCAGTACCGCTTAAATGAGAATTTAGGCATGTTGTGGATTCCTGCGTGAATGCTATGAAATCACAACCTGCCTGCTCAGCAGCTGCAGATTGTATGATGTAATTTCCCACGCTATTTTGGAAGGGTTGAAAACCACCTGAGTGGTTCGCTGACATTTTGTTCGTGTTCACTCTCTCTCTCTGTCTTGCAGCCTGTTGCCCCATTGGCCTGTTTCTTGGTATTGCTTTGTTTGAAATTTCCATGGCAGTAGGCTGCAGTGTTCTGAACCATAAATTAAATGTGACTGTTGAAGGCTGGATAGCACGAGAGAGAAGTGTCTGAGCCCCAGAACTGCTGCCAAAGGCAGGTGCTTCCTAGCAAAGCTCGGTTTGGGAAAAGTGGAAAGGCATTATTTAACAAGATGAGTTGTGACGACTTTGTAGTCTCAAAAATAACCATAGTTCAAAAATTTTGTAACCTATGGAATTTGTGGTAGAAAACCAGGCATTTTTTTGGTACTTATTTGTGGACCATTTTAAATGGGCTTTTCTGGAAGCTGAATAGCTTTAGGGATTGGAAGTGCCCCCACAAAATCATTCTGCTGTACGCTGGTGATTTAAATCCAGTTCAGAATTGTCTGTTGTGGAAGCTATTGCTACTCAGAGGTTGGATAGAGCCTGTATACCCTGAATTCACGGTTTCAGTTCAGTTTGCATAAAGTTCAGAGTTACCACCCATTGGGCCACTGGCTTGTTTTTCTCATCCAAGAGGTACAAGGCCTAAATCAGTCACGCATGCTGATCTTGTCTTTTATCCGTGAATAATTCTCCTTTTTACTGAGAGAAAGAAATGCCAGCAGAAAGTGAGATGCACTGGCAAACTTGGATAGCTGGGAGCCAGCCCTGCCACTGGCTGGAAACTGCCCATAGGCAGAGATATGGGTAGACGGCACACAGACACTCCGACACTTCACTCAGCTTTGTAGGTGGGAGTTCTTGCAGCCTAGAAGAAGCAGCGGATGGTGTAAAGAGCACAGCCCTTGTCTGTAGAATAGGGCTTATATCACAAAAATATCCTGAATAAAATATAATTTAGTGCACAGCTTGGCCAAAACCAATTACCTGCCTTGAACGCTTCATCTCTAGGAGTAATTAGCTTTGTGCCCCTCCTTTTTTTCTTTAGTAAGACTGGGTGTGATTGCAGCACTGCTAGGTATAATCCAGTGGTCATGCCTAAATGAATTTTGGTGTTAGAAAAATGTTTCTTTGTAAGCTGTGGTGTAGTTGGTGACACAGTAATGTTTCAACAAAATTACTTCTGGTGCTGCAGGTTTGTAGTGGGGTTTCCACTGAATTGTAAAATTCACCATATGGTAACATTTTTAGTAATAAATATTTTTGTGATAGGATTGAAAGAATCCAGTCCTAGTTGGTCACTGAAAAGTGCTTTCAGTAATTCTTGTTGGACTTCTGTCATTGCCTTGTATGTCCTGCACATACTGCACATTCAGGCAGCCCAATTACAAGCTATAGCTTTTTTTCAGTGGTATTACTGATGTCCCTACATGTCCCATAGCTGTAAGCTATATTTATATATAATTAATTATTCACATGATGCTTAGTCATTGAAGGGGTGACTTAGCTAGAAATACCCCTAACAGAGAAAGATGGTATGTTAAGGTTCCTGCAGTGTAGCCAATAGGTGAAAAACCCGTAAACACGGGTTAGCATGGAAAGAAGGTGGTGCAGACTCCATTATTAGAGAGGGATACTAGGAAATAATTCCTGCTGTCTGTTCCTTCTTCTGCCAGTGATGCACTGGGAGATTTGGAATCAGTTCTTCATCCTCTCTTGATCTGTGTTTCTGCTTATATAATGGGCAACAATTCTGGCCTACATTGCTTTGGCTTTTTTTTTTTTTTTAATATATGTACTTATGTAGTACTTAAAAGCACTCTGACAGATGAAAGTCGTGATGTAAGTTTATAACATTAAATAACGATTCACTGAACTGAGTTGTAATGGAATGTGCAGAGCTGCCGTGGGCTATGGGCTCAGCAAGATGTTAGCAAAGGGAAGGATGAAATTCAGGGCCTGTGACACTGGTTTTGTGAACCACTGAAAAGTTACAATGTCGAAGTCAAAACCCCAAGAGCTGATGAGTTGGGCTCAACAATCCGTACTAACCAAGCAGGGACAGAGGGCCACGTTGTGAGAGTGTTGTCTCTTGTTCTGTGTCAACAGTTGCAGGCAATTGACAGTGTGTCATTTAGTCACTGATTGCAACTTTCTGGATGCGCTATGCCCACCAGCAATGCCCAAGAAACTTGGATGTTACCAGATCCCTGTGTTAAACTCCTCTAGCTTGGCTAGGAGGTTAAAAAAAACAGATATGCATGAGAGAAGTTGCACACTTTTCATCTTAGTTAAGAATTCCCGATGTTGATCCATGGTCAGTTCAAGCAGATTTTACTCTGTGCGCTTTCTCACCTTTGAGTTAATTGGGGTGGCTGGCTACATTAGTATGAAAGGCAGACTAGCTTCATAGTTTTAAGAGATGGTTTAGTATTGAGCAATAGGTAACATATGCATATTTTGCAGAAAGCCTATTCCTCAGCTTTACTACAAACATAATCAGAATTGTTCAGAGGCATTTGCTTGATTTCAAGTTTATTGTGATTAAAGTGCAGTATATTTTGTTTCTTAGTGGTTTCCCGCTGCTGGTGGCCTGCTTTCATTGTATTTACCCTGCTCCTTCTGTGCTGATTACAGTGGCATCCTCTTCTGACCATGCTAAAGGAGCGCATTGAAGAGTTCACTGGCTATACCTTCAACTCTCTACTGTGCAACCTCTACCGAAATGAGAAGGATAGCGTAGACTGGCACAGTGATGACGAACCATCACTGGGAAAAAATCCTGTCATTGCCTCACTCAGCTTTGGTGCTACCCGGACCTTTGAGATGAGGAAGAAACCCTCCCCTGTGAGTGTTCATACCACATTGAGAGAGTCCTGTAGTTACTAATATGCTTAGTATTTTCCCTCTGTTTAGAGAACTTAATTTCTAAAAGCATTTAATAGTAGTTAATGGAAGCACAATTCGTAAAGTTCTGTGAAATAAGCATAGGGATCAAGAAATCTGTTGCATGGAATGTGACATCTTGAGGATGGGAATGGGACCACTCTAACAATGTGCAGCAGTGTAGCGCTGCAGTGAAATTGCAACCTGGGCACTCTTCTGCCCAAATAAGGGCCTTTCCCGTTACTTAAAATGAAATCAGTGGTGGTGAAGGGGACTTCTGCTGTATAAATGAACCAAAGAGTTGATACCGTTTTCTTAAACTCGGGCAAACATTGTGTAATGCATAGTGTATGTGGGATGATAAGTAGCTCTGACTGCTCTTGCAAGTAAAAGTCTTCTTAATAATGTTTGCATTTTGACTCATGTTCAGATTGAGGGACAGTGAAGGGAGGGAAGGAGCTCAGTTCCTTTCCTTAAAATACCAAACTGTCGTATCATACTTTACAGACTAAATGGAGATCTTTACTTTGATAAGGAGGCCTGTGTGGAACATCCTTTTAGGAATAAGTTGGTTATATAGTGAATACTCTTTCTGGATAAAATGCTGTGCTTGGGTATGTTGGGTTCTCGTGCCAACTTAAAACTTAAATTTTGCAATTCATATTTATCCAAGTAAAGGAATCACATATTCCTGTGTTGAGAATACAGGCCTCATTTTAGGGTATCCTACTTCAGATGTCTTTTCTGCATGTGTAGTCTTTGAGACCTTTGGGAACAAGTTTGCTGTCTGCTCATGTTGCTATTTATTCCAAGTAAGTAATGCAGAAAGCAAAGGTGATGATTATCAGCCTATTAGAAAAGTGTATGCTGACATACTAAAGTCTGCCCATCAAGAGTCACCTTGGGTCACGTAGTCGTGAACAGCAAAGGTCAGAATTTTAACCAGAAAACAAATAAATAATCTGTATTTTTCACCAGTTCTTTAATTTGTAAATTCTTTGTTGTCTGAAGTTAATTTAATCCTGGTCCCTGAGCATGAGATCATATAACCAGTGCATTATATCAGTGGGCATATCATGAGTAAGTATCTTTGACGCTGGGATGATAACAAAATGTCAGCTCGAAAGTTCATTCCTCTGGGAAACTGAGGTAAATGGTGCTTGCGTTCTTTTCTAGAAGTGCATGTGTTCCCCTTCGATGGATCAGAATCAAAGCCACTTAGATTTCAGTATAAACTTTGCAGCTTTCCTCTTAAAAATCAAACCCAGTTCATGAGCAAGATGTCTTTTTGTTCTGTTTTCTATTTTCTGAAAAGATGTCCATTATGAGCAAAGAGGGGAAGTTCAGTCTGTGCCATTCATAATTGGCCGCCACCTTTGATCTGTACTGGACGATTTCTTCCCTTTTCTTCCTGAGATGGATGACTTTCTGTAGATGTATCCCTCAAGCTCTCCTCATTTTTTTCTTCAGTGCCTCTGACCTGGTATTTCTGACTAGCTGAGTCTTGCTACCTACGAAGTGTATTCCTTCTGCAAGTGTGACATACCTGTTTCTAAGGTATGATCCTCATGTGCAGAGTGATCTTTGAATAAGTTGCTATTAACTGCATCCTGTGCCTAAGGGAACTCGTACTTAATAATTATATGGCACACATTACGTATTCTTTGCACATTCCCAAAGCCTGCAATTTTCTGAGAGCATCCTGTGACACTAGATACTTTGCCAAGTGGGAGTTACAAGAGGCTCTGATGGAAATTACAACCTTTCAGGCTGTACCAGCAAAGAAGTAATTTTCATACTCTATTGTAATGTAGCATTCTCTCTTTCATTAAGAGAAAGTTAAAGTTGATTGTAGATATTTGAAGTTTGATCATTACTTTGTTCAAAAGCGAGTTACAGGAAGAGGAATGTAGCCTAGGGAAAAGGGATTCAGGTTAACAGGCATGCAGGCTCTCCCTGGTTTATAATCTGCCAGTATCGGTACATCGGGTTTTCCAGGGTTAGTCTTCAGTGAGGACAGCAAGAAAAAGTAAATCCTTTTCCTGCCAAAATTAAACCTCTTTGAGGGCCAACATTGTAGTATTTCAGATTGTAGAGTTTCAAAGGCCTTCATTTGCCTCTGTTCTTGTAAGTGCTTTTAAGTATTTTGAGATGAAAGATGGAAAGATGGAATAAAAATACAAGATGAGAAATCCTATGGTAGAAGCTCACTGTGGATAAGTGGTACTGGGAAAAAAAAAACTAAAGCGGTTGCCTGTGTGTGATCATGTACTGGGTACAAAACAGTATGTACCACAAGTCAGGTAACATCTCCTAGTGCTATTGAAGAATGCTAGATCAGAACCTTCAGAGACTTCAGTTCATGTTAGTATCTGTACAGATATTTTCCTATTATATCTTGAAATGTGGATGAATTTATTAGATAATAAAATCCTATTTCTCTTAACAGCAAAGATGACCAGTAATGTTGGTGGGTTGGTTTTTTTGTGCATGTTTGTGTGAATTTTGGCATTTGTCTGGTAGGAATTTGGTGGTGTTTATATAGGCCACTCTGAAACTGTCACAAAAGGAAATCTTTTTATCCTTTCTCTGCATTTTTCCTTGGCAAAAAAAAAAAATTTTAAAAAGTTACTTAGGTGCAAGTGGTATTTTTTTTCCTGCAAATTGTTTGAGGGTGAGGGGAAGGAAAGGTTCAGTCCTCTGTTTTTCTTTTGGGTGAGTGCTGTACTGGATGAGTAAGTGTTCATCATATAATAGATGGTAAAGGAGCGTAGAGATGTGCATAGCCTATTTGAATCTGCATCAACAAGCATCCCTTGTGTATAAGCAGAAATAATTCTTACTCGGATTTCAGCCCAGTGCAGGTAAAAAAGCTACAAATACATTTCAGGGCAAATTCCCTGCTGGAATTAAGGAGACTTTTTGTGGAAATTAACATGATGCCAGAAACTGTTTTACTTTTTCCACTGGAGTTTTTCTTTTTAAGCATTCTTTCTTCTAGATACTGTCTTTTCTGTTTATTGGACCAGTTGTGTCATCGTAGCTGATATTTTGCCTTTGCTTTAAAAGGTTCTGCCTTTTTTTGGATGCCTGCTTGGTACTTCAAAATCTACAGTGAAGTGATCTGGTTTCTTTTATTTTCTACTTCTAGTTCCGGTAAATTACTTAAACTTTTTCTTGCCTCCTTGTTCCCTCCTCGTCATCGTAGCTCCTGCCTACACTGAAACCAAGAGATGAATGCTTTGTCATAGAGCCGTGATTCATACACAATTCACACGCAATCTGTTGGTTTTGTCAACACGTCCTCTCGTGCTTGCCCGCAGCATAACTGTCCCCACTGCACCACCGTGACCCCCTCCTGTTCTCCATGCTGCTTCAAGGCCCCTGTCCCACTCGTATGTGACTTCACCGTCCTACTCCAGAGGAACTGTTTTCGCTGTGTTAGATGGGTCTTTCTGATACAGCCTCACTACCATTTTGACTATTGCTTATCACTGCTCAACTTTGTGAGACAGTGCCAGGTTCTCTGATGAGGTCTTTCTGGAACCTGAGTGTGAAATGTTAGTTCCAGGGTGAAATTTAATGTCCCACTGAGCTCCCGGGTCCCACTGAGAGGTGCTCTGGGTGCCATAAGGACCAGTTGGGTATCGTTGTCCGACGAACTGCCGTGTGAACTGTGGAAGGAGTTAGAAAGCCAGCTGTCAGGTTGCTTTTCTTCCATCTGTAACCAAGGAAACTGATGGGTGCTGGGGAAGGGAGGGAGCTTCACGCGTGTGTTAGATAATAGGATGTTCGTGGTGTTCTCAGAATCAGCCTTCAGATGGGTCTGTCCTTCAAATGAAACACTAAAACACAGTCGTCCTGTCCTTGAGTAGCTGTTCTAGCATAAGTTAAAGATCTCCTAGTACTTTTGAAAACAGCAGAAAAATAACCCTTTGTGTCCCAACAGGCCTAACTGAAGACAAACGTGGGAATATATGGAGCACGGTAGAAACAGAGGCTTTGTTCAGGACGTGGAGGATTGAACTTTTAGATTGGCACGAAGGAGACTTGCAGGCAGCAGTGGCTGCAGAGGCGTAGGTGGTGTCCACCAGTATTGGCAGGACCTGAGCAGCTGTAGACAAGCAGAGAAGAAGATGCGAGTGCTTTAGAGCTACCTCAATTGCAGTCTGCTAGGTCAGCTGCAGACTGAGGGAGTTTAAGATAGTCCTATGCAGGCGGGCAAGTGGATGACATGAGGAAAGGGCAATACAATGATATTCATTCTTACTGAGTCCATAAAGAAAAGAGCTGCAGTGAGGATTTCGTCAGAGATAGTGAGAATGAACAGGTAAAAATGCAGAAGTATCGATAGATGAGACCACTTTGTTGTGGAGGAGGGTGTTTCCGCAGCTGGTGGTAGAGGAGTAAACTGGAAAACAGGGATAGAAGCAAGACAAGATTAGAAGTTTCATAAGGAGAATTCTCTTGGTAATAGGTAAATAGGTAAAGCAGAAGACTAGAAGCCAGCATTCTCCAGGAAGGCTGCTGACTTTAGCCTTTGAAAATAGTTTTGCATCATTTGCATGTATAACTGCACTATTTATACATTATTCTACAAGATGTTTCCATTTAATTTTCCTTATAATAGAAGATGCTTCCACACTATCCAGAACCCATTTCCTACTACTATCTCAATAAACTTGCCTGAGATTTAGAGAAACAAACTTAGGTGATTTATATAGATTTATACTAGATCTTTTCTCTTTCTTACCTTTTTGATTCTGATACCATTTTAAGAAAAAAACCTTGATGGAGTCCAGGAGTGCTTACAGATTTTATATTCACAGCTTCCCATTAACTAATGCTGAGCTTTCCTCACTTATTAGCTGTAGTTACTTGAATTAAGGATAAAAAAAGTTTTAGCCACTGTACTTGGACAGTGTAAAGCTTGGGTTGTATTAAACGTGCAACTCAACATTATGAAAATCCTAATATACCTTAGTATATAATCAGAACTGTTGCTTTACTAGACCTGTTCTTGGAAGCAGCTGGTTTTGTAATACACCTATAGAGTTACAAAGTGACCATATAAAAGTTACCTGATGCATTTCTTCCCATGTTTGTTATCAGTACTTTTAAAAAAATCTTTTCCTCCTTAGATGTCAAGAATAAATTATCTTCATAAACTTCTTGACCTCTGAAACTCAGCTGAGTTTTCTGTATGTCTAACACCAGCTCTAGAGATAAAAGTTCTGAAATGAGATTTGGTGGACAGTGTTAGTAACAACATGTAAGACAGTAAAAATTTTTTGTCTAACTTTGTCAGTTCTGCGAAACCAATTGACATAAAAATCTCTTTTTCTAAGTAAAACTAAGCTCAGAGATGTCCCATTTGAAACAGAAAGTAACTGTTGCTTTTACATACTGACTTTTCTAAGCCAAAAGGATGCTTTCTCCTAAATCATTTATCTTAGAAGAATTCCTTTTTAATCAAGATGAGCAAGAGATAAAAATAAGTCCACTGTTGTCCATCCACAAAGTGAAATGATGTAATCCTGTGAAATAGAGAAGAGCCATGCAATGGTATTTCTCTGCTTTTCATCAGCAGTCATGTTTACAATACCTATTTTTGAAATGTTTTCCTTGTTTCCTCTGAAGTTTAAGAAAACGTTTCTGGCATTAGACCTTACTAAAAATAGAGCAAGATAAATGGCTAATAATTCTAGAAGCTTAAAAATATGTTTTGCGTTGTCCTTACAAAGAATTCATATTACAGGTGATTCTGAATGCCTTCAGCACTCCCTGATTCCAGAGGTTTAGTGAGCTTAATTAACCACTGGCACAGCCTTGGGCCTTTAGGTATTCCCAAAAAATGCATAAATCCAGAATTGCCAGCCAGCGCTGCCAGTTGCACCAGCAGTATTGAATAGCCTTGTTCTGTCACACTGTGACTTCTAGTCCCAGACATGAACAGAAAGTGGCAGCGGTGTGAATAAATAGTCAATTACATCAAGTGATGCTTTTTATTATTGGGAATTGATTTGGTTCCAACCAAGCTCTTTTGCATTTTAGAGGATTTGCAGTCATCTTTCTATCTGCATCTCTTTTATACACACACACACTCCCAGTTGTTCTTTTGAAAATCAAACTTTATTTTAAGTCCAGGACATAATTTTCCCAGTAGTTGATACTTTACCTCATTATTTTGAGCTTTTCAGCAAGCCATGAACAAAAAAGACAAACCTGCATCAAGTTGGGCCACTGCACAATTAAGCTTCAAGGAAGTTAGTTAAGATTTTTGAAAATGTGAGTTTTTGTAAAAGCAGTAAAATGTGTTGGATGAGAGCTGTTGGGTCTTTTTAATGGCTCTCAAAAGACTATGTCTGCCTTTTTATGACCCGCTGATGTTTTCTTCTAGCTGTCGGGTCTGTGCAGAACCCTGTTAATTATCCTGAATAACTGAACATACAGCTGAAGCCTGGAGATCTTGTAATGTTTGTTTCTGTTTCAGGAATGTGGGACTTCTGTCAGTGTGAGGTAACTATACCTGCACCTCAAGCTGGGTTAAATCTTACTGTGATAATTCCATTTTCCCAGTCTCAGTTGTCCTGTATTGTTTCCAGCTTCTTTGCAATCTGCTTCTGTTATAAGTGACATAAGTAGTGACCTCACATCTCTTTTTTTTTTTTTTTTTTTTTTTTTTTCCCTGCCCCTCCAAAGTACAGTTTCATTTTACATGACAAATGTGAACAAATGCCACGCTGGTAACAGGTTTTGTTGAGTCTGGAGTAATTGCTGCCCTCAGCTGGGTCTGAAATAATGGAGCATTGCTTCCTCCTAAACACTCAGCAAGTATGATTTTAGGAGTCTACCAACCATTATAAGAAACTGGAAGAGAACATACTGCCTAACTAATTAAAAAATAAAAAATCTGAAGCATTTGTGCAGCAACTGTCCAAGATGTATGGTCCCTTACAGAAATGCACCGTCATGCTTTAGAAGCTCAGACCTGGCCTAATTATTTTTTCCTCATCTGTTTGTAGTAACTGTGTATTTTGGCTTTTCTTTCAAGAACAAATAACTGATTTGGTGATCTCTCTGAAAAAAGCCAGTATCTCCGCTTCTAGAGGCAGTGATACAATAACAAATAGGCATTCAGGCTGTCTGTTTGCTATATGCAGTATACTCAGAACAAAGTTAACCCTGTAGTTGTACAATGTAGAGGCTGAGAACCTGTCATACATACTCTTTTTTCAGTGGAGGACATTTATTATCCACTTTATACTTTCAAGCTATCTATGGCTTTCTATAACTTAAACATAAAAGGCCTCTTGAGTCCCCTCCCTTTCAACACTAATTAAGATATTTCTCTAACTCCCCCTCTCTCTAAAATAGTCCCCGTATTTTGCAGGATTTCCTATCTGAAACTTCCCTGAATTCCTCATTTCAGAGAGTTGCTTTCAACTCTTCCTTGACAGCTTGCAAAGTTGGCAATAGAGGTCTAGAAAAGGCAAAATATATACTGCCATTCTGTATTTGGGGGACTTCCTGGTTTTCCTATTCACATTTCAATATTAATGAAATAATCAAAGTGCCAACATTAAGTAGGCAAGATGTTAAATGGAAGTTGTTCAATGTTTGCAGCAAATTTTTCTGCAGCTGTTGAAGGCTAAAATCAGAAAATATTAAAGGAATACACAGAGCATTGTAATACCTGCCCATGGGGATTCTGGAAGATAGTTCATGTCTCGCATAGTAGGATTTCATGAAGAGGTTACTGTTGTGATTGACAAAGAGAACCGTGTTGGCATAATAGACTTCGCAACTTGTCTTAGCAGTGTATTAGTCTGATTTAAAATTGGAAGGGATAGTGCAAAGCAATAGAGAGTTGCTGTTCCACTGATGTGGCATGTGTGAGACTAACTCTGCAGTGTTACTGTGTCCGGTTGTTGTATTTGTGCTTAAAAAAGTTGTACTTAATCTGAAGGCTTAACAAAAGTTTGCAAATTATTTGTCTTCTAGTTTAGCAGTCTGTTTTGCTTAGTGATGATAAAGTTTAAGACAACTTGTTTTACAAGGTACTATAGGAAAAGGAGATATTTTTTTTGGATAGGAAAGGTTCTTCATCTAGCAGATAATACTATACCAACATGTAATGTCCAAAACAAGACAAATTCAGAATAGAAAGAAGATGTGTATTTTTGATGTAGTTAACTGTTGGAATCGGAGTGGCTGTTGCAGAATGTCTCCACGCAGAACTGTTTATTTCAAGAGTGGATGTTTCCAAAAGGTTTGCAGCCTTGCTCCAGAATTTTGCACTAGATTTAGGAATTTGTTGTTGAACTTTACCTGTGTTGTACAGGCAGTGAGACGCAGTGGCTTCTTTCATCCTTAAAATGCTCAGCTCCTGAACTCTTTATGAAATATGATAACAGAGAGGTTTAGGTAGACTTCTTGATCTTGTAAGAGCTTCCTTTCCTCCTCTCCCCTCACAGCCTTTTAAGCTCTGCTGTTGGGAACTGGCTTTCTACCAAATGCACATGCCTGCTTCTTCAGTGTCTAATGTTTCTTTTTAGGAAGAGAATGGAGACTATACTTACGTAGAAAGACTAAGAATCCCACTTGATCACGGGACTCTGCTGATGATGGAAGGAGCTACCCAGGAGGATTGGCAGGTGAGAACTCCTCCACACTGTTTGTGTGCTTTACTTGCAGTGCAGTTTTCTAAATATGCACGAGGCACTCCCATAAAGTTATGGGACATTCTTCTTCCAGTGACACAGTTGTTTCCTAGCGCATTAATATTGCTTTCTGCCTCAGAGTTTCAAAGCACCCACAGAAACAATGGGTTTTCTTCCCAAGTGCGAAGTGATGTAATAAGAATCAGCTCAGATGTGCCGGCATTAAAGTTCAGCAATGAAGCTTGCAGCCTGCAGCTGAAAGAGCAGAATCAATTTAGGAGCTTTGAATATAACTCGCAACTTAAATTAACACATCTACAGTAATCTACAAAGACCTTTTGTTTTCAGTGGCCCTGAGCAGTCAGAACATGATTTTTTTCCCTTATCTAAATGTTTAGAAATGTTAATAAAAAGCCATCATAGGAAATGAAGTTTTTTTACATTGCTTGGTAACCTGTATTTTAAATACACAAGCTCATGCTTTTGGGTTTTGTTTTGTTTTGTTTTGTTTTTCTAATGCCACTTACAGCATCGAGTGCCTAAGGAATATCATTCTAGAGATGCACGGATAAACTTGACCTTTAGGATCATTTATCCAGAACCTGATGGAGTTTGGAAGTGAAGAGGCACTTTGGGCATTGTTGGATATAAACGCACAGCAGATCCAGAGCCTCAGATTGCTACAGATTTAAAGGAAGCCGTACAGGAACAGAGTCCTATGAAATACCTGGTGGGGGAAAAGAAACAATATTATGAAGATCTTTGACAATCAGAAGCTGCCTGTGTTATGTGGACAGTGCTGTTTTGTTTTCAGAAATGATATGCTATTAGATGATACTAAATCACTTTAAGTTTGTGAAAAAACGATCATTTTTAAAAGAACACAAAGCACATCAAAGATCTGAGAGATACTGACTGGAGCAGAAAGATTCAGTGGGCAGTTATTTTTGCATCTTCTCGTCTCCCCTTTGTCCCCCAGGTAGTGATCTATGATCTAAGTAACAACAAGACAGGATTCTTTTATGTAAAGCCAGCTGGATGTTCTGTGTGTACAGAAATGAGAAAGCTGCGCTTCATGATCATCTCTGAGTATTGCTCATTTCACCAAGGGGTAGTGCATTGCTCTTTATTTGTAGGTTGCAAAGTCTCATCCAATGAAGCAATCAGTTTCGTTATTTATATAACTACTTGAATTACAGCAGTGTCTAGTAGAACAGAGGCTCCCTTCTGCTCTGCACTCTGTGGTCAGGCTTTATCCGAACCTTTTATCCATGTAGACAAGACAGGCAAAGGCACGCAACAGAGACACTGTAGCCACAAGCCTTATCAGCCAGGTCGAAACTTCCCATTGCTTGAGTATTAACAGTCCTCCATCCCTGCTGGCTTAAAATGGTTACCTCTGTGTCATAGGCAGGAAAATAGACACAAAGAGATGGAAAACATTACTTTCAGAATTTGCTAAATTCTTAGTTTCTTTTTAGTTTTTCTTTTTAGAACAACTAAGTTGTGGCTTCCAGTGATTTCAGGTGGGACAGGAAATGTCAGCATCTCTAAAAATTAGGCTTGTGCTGCCAAATTTGATACCCAGAAGAATTGGTCCAAAGATTTGGACCCAAATTATTATAATCACAACGTAAGTCAGTTGCAAAGCTACACTAAGAGGAGTGTGGTAGCACCAGGTGCAGCACTTTCTCTGGTGCTACTGCTCCTAGGTCAATGCATATTGCATTACAAGAGTATTACATGGAGGGTTGTCTCTCGAACCTCTGCTGTTACAGAGGAGCAGTCAGCAGCTCAGACCTGATTCTAGGTTGGCTTGCTGGAATTCTTCAAGTTTGCCTGCCCTGGGTACATCTCACCTCTGAGTAGGAACCAGAGGACTGCTGTGTGGATGTTAGGTCAGGTATGCTGCTCACGTGGTTAAGTTCTCACTGCAGCTACGTGGCATCTAGTGTACTGGAGCAAAACATAGGTTTGGTACGTCTTCACTTTCTGCGTGAAGTAGGATCTAAGCATGGATAAATACTCTCTGCCTTGTAACATGTTAACATTATTAAGCAACCTAGCATCCCTCTTCAGTGCAAGAATAAGGTGGTGTGTAGAAAATGTCTATCTTTTCTTAGCCAGTAGTAGTTTAAATTTCTTGTTTGATGAGAGCAGTCAAGTTATTAATACTCAATTATGACTATGTTTTAACATTATTGATAATTTAAAGGACAGACTGTTGAGCCATTTAAATCCCTGTGCTCTGAAATTGGCTAGAATCATTTTCTTTGTATATCAAACAACTCTAGAAGCAGCTTCTCTACCTAAAGCACCATACAGCTTTTGAAATGGCTTATTCTTCTAAAATGAATGAATGTTATTAGAAAACTTACTTTTTATCTAATAACGTCTTCACCTTCATCCCAGTTTGTATAGAAATACATTTTTGGAGTATGTTTAATGTTAATTGCTTGCATTTGAATCTAAGATCTGGGCTCTGTGATGTATCTCCTGAGAATTAGTTTTGAAGGAGGGAGGCGCTTACTTTCATGTTTACTTTCTTTAGGTAACTAGAGCTCTGTGCACATCCCTGTATGTGCCCAGGTTTGGCAGTCCTGACAGAGAGTGGTTTTCCATGACCAAGGGGCAGTGCAAATTTCTCCAGGTATTCTGACAAGGCAACACTTGAGCCTTTATCAGTTCATACAAGCTACATTTGTTTACACTGTGTTAAGAGCAGTCATGCTGCAAGAGAGAGTAGGAGGTGGGGACGAGATGGAAACTTTTAAACCCTTGAACCTCAGCCTGTTGTGGAAATTGCAACACATTTGAATTCAATGAAGCTATGGCACATAACTGATGGTAGGGCCCTGGAGGCTGATACTGTTCCCGAAGAACAGTTTTTCACTTACTTTCTTGGTTTCAATTTATAATGTTAGCAAATTGTGGTTTGGTTTCTTTACTTCCTCTGATCTGGGAGAAGACCATGGTTTCCTCCCCAGCAATAAAATTATTTATAAGAGAAATGCTGTATCCCACAGAGCTCTCTTGGGGCAGTACCCTTTTGTTGCTGGTGTCTACTATGTTCTGCTCGCTCTCGTGTGTCAATGGCTGCTGCTTATATCCAAATCTGGTTGACAGTGGGCACGTGGCATTGTTCCTCCCCCTGTCCTGAGTGCCCTGGCTGCGAGGGGAACAGTTGGCATAGAGGTCAAGTTTCTTTGTCAGCTGGGAGCTTATGGGTCCTTCCTTCCTCCCCCACCTCCTCCCAAAAAAAGTCACCTAGCCAGGTGGCAGTGGATAGCAACCTCCTGCCTGCCGGGACAGCAGGAAATGGCTTAGAGCAGAGGAGATTCCAGCCCACATCTCAGGAGATGTTTCTGCAGGGACATTTTTCCTGTAGGTTGAAATTTGTTCCTGAATGCTGCAAGCACTCTTAGAGTTCTCAAAATGGATGTGCACAAACCTGGGATTTCAGAAGTCTTGAGCCTGGTGGTGTTCTCATGGCACCTAAAGATTTTTCACTAGAGACCAGGGCAACTTGAAAATTTCTAGTGCTGCTATTCAGCTGTTTCTGCTGTTGGAGTCAAGTGCAGAGGATAATGTATTTAGAATTGTAAATATGTAGTTAGGTTCCGTTCTTTAACTTAAAGATAGCTGGAGGAACTTTCTCCTAGTTACATGGATTTGAAAACAGTATTTCTAAAAATGCTACCCGAAAGATTTACTTGCCAGTCATAAGGCTCTCTTCCATCCCAGGACTGGTTTGACAGTACAGTATTGCCAGACAAAAGCTTTTTGAAAAAAGATTTAAACTCAGAGTACGTTACATTAATTTAAAGTAAAATTTATTGTTTATCTGAAAACAAAGGTATATACGTACACAGAGGATTCAGGGGCAAGGGGGTTGCAGAGGTTTTTTGATTTTGCCGCTATCACCAGACACACTAATCTAAGCATGGAGTAGTCTGTCCATATGAGGTAGTGGAGCAGGTGCTAAGAGCTGCTTTGCCTACAGAGCACCTCTGAATTTTATTTTCCATATTCCCTGTATTCTTTCTATGTCTCCCAAACTGTCCTCTGCAAGCCTTTTCCTCTCCCCTCTCACTCCCATTGTCATTTGTTGATATTTATCTCTAGTTAGGTCTCGTATGCTCCCTTCTGCAGGTGTGACGATATTACTTTATGCAGAAGATATAAACTGTGGGTTTACTTTTTCCCTGTTTCTTCATGCTGAAATATTATTTTTCAGCACAGTATGTGTGTCTCTTCCAAGAAAAGCTGAAAAATTGCATTCCTCAAAGCTGTTCATTGTCTGTGGCTTTCAAACAGATAGAGTCTACTAGTTGCCCCAGTTAAGATTCCCTTTTCCAAAATAGCCATCACCTTTTCCAAAATATGGTGGCCCTCAGGCTTGATGATAAGGAGCAGACGAATGGAAGCTGTCTTTGGTAAGGACGGGTAGTGACCTGTCACCCCAAGGAACATGCAGGATGGAGCTGTTCTGAAAAAAAGGGTGACTGGTTCCATCAACAGTATGTAACCATTCATTTTTTTAACACCTCTATAAACAGTAACATTATTAATTAACCATACTGGCATCAGGAATCTCTCTGTCTCCATGCTACTTGCAATAATAATTTGATGACAGAATACTTGAATATTCAAGCACAAACTCTTGATGAGGTTAGAGTATATCTGATTGAATACTATGCTTTTGGGCCACACCAGGTTGATCTGAGCACATGCCATTCAAAATCAATAGCAAAGTTCTGCCATTTCTCTGCTGTATTTCTTTTTTTCTTTTTTCCAGGCGAAAACACCCCAAACCTCTTTAGGATTTTCAATTTTGATTAGATGTAAAACCTTAGATAATTCTATTCCTCCTGTGTCAGATTATTTCTAGCTATATATTTTCCATTTGTCATGAGTGATGGGCTTAGTATAGTTACATATAGTAATTTATAGCTACAATAATAATGTAGAAGGAGACAGGGTGCCAGGAAGGGGTTAAGAAACCAGAATTTTCATTCCATAGTATTGGCAAATTACAGAAGACTGTTCTCCTGGGGTTTGGGCTAGAAGACGTGTGATGGGTGCTGTGAATCCATAATGCCTCCTTCTCAAAAGTGCTGCTGCTATTGACTTAGCTAAAAAGCATTTAACACCGACTTTGCCTTTTCTGGTCATAAACCTTTTCAGAGTGGATATGAAATCTGCCTCACTGTGTTTTGTTTTCAAAGTGCTGCTTTTCCATCCTTGCGGTTTCTATAGCAACCTGGGCCGTTTGTTTAAATTGGAGCTCACTGGCTTGTCCTTCCTGCACCTAACTTCTGCTGAGATCTTGCAGGTGGTATCTCCTCTTCTTGGCACGTCCGAGAGTGACTGGTAAAGGTTAGAGAGGGTCTCAGCAGTGCTTGGCCCTTCCCAGAGGGCCAGTCACTCAGCGAGGTAACAGATGGGTGCTTTCTCCCCTGTCGCCTTATTTGATTTACCTCATTCTTCTTCCATGTAACGTTCAGTACGGCTTTGCGGAGTTACTACAAGCTCCCTTGAAGAACAGGTTAGCTGGCTGGTCTTTGGTGGCTCACGCTGGGAAGGCTCATCTTGGAAGAGCTAGGAGGTCTTGTTTTAAGTAAAGAAAGTGGGGACTGTATTGAAGAATTTTAATCAGAATAAGGAGCGAGGAGGTCTGCTGCATGGCCCCCATTGTTTGATTTAGGTTTCCCAACAGAAATAAAACCTTTGTTCTATTCACTCAGGAGGTTTTGCTGGCTGAGCAAGCTTAGAGCAGAGTCTTCACACCACAGGGGATCATCCAGACAGAGAGTGCTCACTGGATCCAGAATGATGCTCAACTGAAAGTTGTTTCTGCCTATAGCTGCATGTGCAGCCACTTTGCTGTTCACAGGAGGGTGTTACTGTGGTGGGTTGACCCTGGCTGGATGCCAGGTGCCCACCAAAGCCGTTCTATCACTCCCTGCCCCCCTCAGCTGGACAGGGGAGAGAAAATATAACAAAGGGCTTGTGGGTCGAGATAAGGACAGGGAGAGATCATCAGTTACCATCATGGGCAAAACAGACTCAACTTGGGGAAAATTAACTTAATCTATTGCCAATCAACCAGAGTAGCATAATGAGAAATAAAATCAAATCTCAAAACACCTTCCCTCCACCTCTCCCTTCTTCCCGAGCACAGCTTTACACCCGGATTCTCTACCTACCCCCTCCCAGCGGCACAGGGGCAGGTCTCATCACACTCTTCCCCTGCTCCAGCGTGGGCTCCCTCCCATGGGAGACAGTCCTCCACGAACTTCTCCAGCGTGGGTCCTTCCCACAGGCTGCAGTTCTTCACAAACTGTTCCAGCGTGGGTCCCCTCCCCGGGCTGCAGTCCTTCAGGCACAGACTGCTCCAGCGTGGGTTCCCCCATGGGGTCACAAGTCCTGCCAGAAAACCTGCTCCAGCATGGGCTCCTCTCTCCATGGGTCTACAGGTCCTGCCTGGAGCCTGGTCCAGCGTGGGCTTCCCACGGGGTCACAGCCTCCTTTGGGCATCCCCCTGCTCCGGCGTGGGGTCCTCCCCGGGCTGCAGGTGGAGATCTGCTCCACCGTGGACCTCCCCGGGCTGCAGGGGGACAGCCTGTCTCACCGTGGTCTTCCCCACGGACTGCAGGGGAATCTCTGCTCCGGCGCCTGGAGCATCTCCTCCCCTCCTTCTGCACTGACCTAGGGGTCTGCAGGGCTGTTTCTCTTACATGTTCTCACGTCTGTCTCCAGCTGCCGTTTCTGTGCCTGCTGCAACTTTCTTCCCTTCTTAAATAAGTTATCATCAGAGGCACTACCACTGACATTGATGGGCTCAGCCTTGGCCAGTGGTGGGGCTGTCTTGCAGCCGGCTGGCATTGGCTCTGTCAGACTTGGGGGAACCTTCTGGCAGCTTCTCACAGAAGCCACCCCTGTAGCCCCCCTGCTACCAAAACCTTGCCACGCAAACCCAATACAGTTACTTATTCTGTCTCCCATGGTGGAGACGCCGCGTAGATCCACGCTGAAGAGTGGGTTGACATTACAGCTGATCTCCGAGTTACCGGTGCCAGTCCTCTGCCCTTGGGCATGTGTTTCCAGCAATGCCCTTGTGCCAGCAGGCTGCCGTGCAACCCTGCAGTGGCTGACCCTGGGAGGTAAGCTGGCCGAGCAAGATCCTTTAAAGCAGAAAAGAGCAGGAAACAGGCCACTTGGAAGAACCCACAGGCTAGAAAGAGCCCCAGCATTGGGTGGCACAGGGGAGTTGTAGCTGTGACTTGTCACTGGCCGTCAGGTCCTCGTCATCATCAGGGAGGGCTGCGGGAGGACTTCTGCCCTGAAGACCTTTTGATGCAGAGAGCAAAAGATAAAGTGGGAGCGAACAGAGACGTGACTTGCCAGAGGCTGTACTGGCCTAGATGTACAACCCGCAGTCCCAGCTTGGTGCCCGGTTTGTTATGCTGCAGAATTTACATGGTTCCCAGTATCGCCCTGGTCCCCGCGTCTTTCCGTACTGGGTTTCTGCATTGTGCCAAGGAGGACACAGCTTGCCCGACCGGCATGGCATGCCTTTAGCTTGAAATAGCGGGGGGGTGGGGGGGAGCTTGGAAAGGAGGAGGACCACAAGATGCAGGCCCCCTCAATTCTTTGGGAAAAGCAAGCGGGAGTGATGGAAGAGGGATTTAAAATTGCCCGGTGGTGTTTTCTGTTGGGAAGCGGAGGGTGGCTGCAGGCTCCCTGGCTTACACGGCCGGGATGTGGCACTGGGATGGGGAGGCAGGGGGCACGTCGGTAGGAAGGTATATCTGGCAAACTGTGCGTAAGGCAAAATTTGCCAATAACCTGTGCTTCCCCAGTGGCGACGAAGCCGTCACTCGTGCCAGAGAAGAGCTTCCTTCCCTGGGACAGGCTGACAAGCCAGCATGAAGAAATCCTCCCAGGCCTCAGGACAAGGAGAGTGATGGAGCGAGGCACTGCGGGCTGGACGCAGGAGGCAGCATCTTGGTGCTGCAGCAGCCACAGGTAGAATAAAACAGCCTGAGCATTGGCTGCTTCTCTGTAAAATCCCTGTATTTTGCACCGATGAGTCATTGGTCACCTCATCAGTTAACTCCTGGCTTCAGTTCCCTTGCAGAGACCAAAGTGGCTCTGTTTTATCTTAGAAAAGCTTCTTCCCAGTGTTACAAAGATCATTCCTCAGCTTTGGGTGCTATGGGCTTTAATCTAACAGGGATGGGGTTATGCTTTTTTTCTTTCTGCTTGTCAGCATGACTAGATGCCCTCTGCAAGGCAGGGCTTCAGCTGTTGGAACCGGTGTCACTCACCTATTTACTAATGTGGTTGTAGTAATTTTTGTCTAAAGTACCCAAAAAGTTTTAGAGACTGAGTAAAAAGCAGTCTGCAGGATTTGGTTTCTTGAAGCCTGATAGTTTATTGTCAAGAAACTTCTGTTTTCATCGCTAGACTACAGTTGATTTCTTTCTTGATTACTTACCAATAGGCTTAAAAAGAGGAAAAAAAATGAAATTTATTCTGCTGAAATGCTTGGATGCTCTGCAGTGTTTTTAGCTGCAGAAGGAAGTAGAAGATAAAATCCTTCAGAGGTGCTAAGATCCTATTTGTGGCACCAACATAAGATTTTTAATCTTGACTCACATAGGAAAGGTTTCCCTTTTGCCCAAGCTCCAAAGCAGCCAGAGCCTTTGTGGCCGTGCTGTCTGCTGGTCAGCCTTCCCTCGCTAGTTTTGAGGTTTGTGGTCAGTTTTGTCCAAATGTGAGAAAGGATAGGAAAAGTCTCAAAAAATAATTCAATTTCTTCAGCTCTTGCAAAAATCAGCAGTTGGGTACAGAAGAGAAACCAAGACAAGCATCCTGTGCTCAGATAGCTATGGGTTACACTGAGCCTCCTGGACAAGGACCAGGGGAATCTTCCTCTCCTCGCTCCCTTGCCGATAGCATTTCTGCTCCGCAGCTGACACGTTGCCTGGGACGCAGCACGCGTGGCCATCAGCACCATCCTGGCCACCAGCTTGGC